AACATCTGTGGAATCAAACATCTGGATTAGTGTGAAACATCTGTGTGTCTGTGTAAATAAAGTTTCTCTGCTGTCAGTTTGCTGTCGGTGAATTTCTTGGGCCAAAGCGTCAAACGTGAAGCGTGTCCTCATCAGAGTAAACACCTCTGCACGGTTTCTTAATGTGAAGGAGTTTAAACACTTTAAAAACACTTGCTAGTTTTTTGTTTTTTTTTAATTTGGACCTTCTGAAAACAGAAAGGTTGTGACGTCATCTGAAGACCTTCAAACATCACACTAAACAGAGAATCTATAAAATATTCTATCTATAAAATAATGACTGAAATATTGTTTTCCTGGATTCTCTTTCAAAGTTTGTGTCACTGGAGTTTAAAACAAAGAAAATGCGTGAACTAACGTAACCCGGGATCTCTGAAGTCCCGTCGCCTCGTACAGAGCCGGTAAAACCCAGAAGGTTCGTGTTTATGGAGAAAAATCAGTTGGCCTCATTGAGCCGGTGAGACCGGCTGTGGGAGAAAACTCTTCTTGCATTTCATCAGTTTTTAGAGTTCTCACCACCACCTGGACTAGACCGGACTCTATCGTGGGCTGATTCTGGTCCCCAAGCCACATGTTTGACTCCTCTGATTTATATGAAACAGAAAATAAAAACAGGCAGGTTTGTGTAATTCAGAGCTTTATGATTTCTGCTGCAGTCTGAAGATAAACTCGAATGACCGCACACGGTCAGACCTTTAATGGAACGCACGCTTCATCCTTTACAGTGAAAAATAAAACGCAGTGTGAAACAGTTTCTTTGTGAGCGCGAGATCAACTGAAGGTCAGGCAAAAACTTTGAAACCAAAGAAAAGGTAAAAACCCGATGACTCTAAAACCGAACATCTGGAACAAACACCAAAGTGTCACAGCTGGAAGTCTAAATCAAACCAGTCCTCCATCTGAGCGTGAAGAGTCTGAACTTTACACCTGCTCAGGTAAAAAGAACCTCTGCTGTCCTTTTTTGAAACAAACTTTATCAATAACAGTTCTTTTAAACAGACCGGTTCCAAAAACATCCGACAGAACTTGGATACGTCCTGGACTCAGCTCTTGCTCCTCCTGCGTTTCCTCTCCTTCTCTGGCAGCATTTCCCTCAACCTTTTACGGCAGTTTGTTGCGCTCGGCGGCGGCGCCTCCCTTGCTGTCGTGGAAATGTCATCTGTGTGGTCAGGAACAGGAAGTCCCTGCAGCGTGAGCGTCTGAGTGTGGAAGAGCGGCGAGGAGGCGAGCAGCGCCCTGACGGCCTCCTGAAGCAGCCGGTTTTTCCTTGGCTCGCCGGGGTCGGCGGCGCTTTCTGTTCATGGAGAAAGTGCAAAAGTTCAGAAACATTTTTACTGCAGGTCATCAGCCAACCGTGATTTTAAATAAAGACATTAAACTGGCACTTCCTTTTTCCTCTCCTGTCAGGGTTTTCACCTTCACCTACCACTTTAATTATCACTGCGAACCAAATATTCATCATTATTATTATTTTAATTTCTAACTGGTCGAATTTTTAAAATATGAAAAAATCGAAAAATTCTCTCCATGAAAATGCAAAGAGCGACTTCACAGTCTGTGGAGAGCACGCCAAAGCAACACGCAGTGATATAGACCTAACCACGACAAAATACTGGCCAATCAAAAGCCCACAAATCACACAACACCTTTGACATTATGAGACTAACTCTCAGTTTTCCTTGTCCACATGTTAGCACGGAAAGAGTTTCTGCGTTGTGTTTTTAAAATGCTGGGCTGATCCTGAGACGTGTCTCTGGTGTCGGGAAGAGGCAGATACCGGAAATTCATCTAATCCCGCTGCTGTGTGAGATTAGATAAAATAATCTGAAACCTTTTCCTGATTCGCTCTGCTGCCTCTCTCTGAGCTTCGTCCTCAGGGCTGACACCTCCGTCTGCAGCATTTCGACCAGGCGTTCGCTCTCCTCCACGTCTCTGCACGTTTTCTGTTCACAAACAGAAGGATGCAGAGTGAATCAAACAGGAAGTGAGGTGGCAGGAAGTTCAGGTGCTCTGACAATTTTGCTCACCTGCAGCTCCACCTGCAGCGAGTCGTTCATCTTATTCACTTCGTTCACCTCCTTCAGCAGCCCGCTGGAGCAGAAGAACTTTGACCTGAAACAAAGAGATCTCAGTTATGCCAGCAGAAACACAGACACGGTGTAAACGTGCCAGCGTGGGCGGGGCATACCCGTGTTTCTTCATTGTGAGGCTGTAACCGGCTGCAGAGCACGGCGCCGACACCTTCCAGTAAGAAAGCTGCTCGAGGAGGCCGAGGTTGGTGATGAGCACGGGGACGTTCATGAAGTGCCTCCACAGGAGAAGAAGAAACACAAACCATAAGGAAAAGACACGAGTCAGTTAAACGTGGAAACACCAAGCTGTCCACCCGCCCCCACCTACCTGTTTTCATTCAACGTTCCTCTAACTGACCTGATTGCTTCACCCAAAGCTGAGATGTTTTAGACCTCTGTGACTGACCTTAAAGCCTCACCAGTGTCCCTGAATGCCTCCCAGTTGTTTTTATTCACTTTAAAAGCCAACTGGAGCATTTTAATAATTATACAACATTTCACTTCATTCACACTCAGTTTCTTCTGATATTTAAGTTGCCAGCACCTGCTGAGTAAATTGAGGTTTTTTCTTTTCTTTTTATATAAAACTAAGAAACATTCATCCAACACAAACAGGTGGCAGTGACCTGGTTGATCAGCTTTAACAGTAAAAATTATCTTTAAGAGGTTTCATACGGGAACTTCAGGCAGACAGAGGTTTGGCAGTCTCAGATTCTGATGGTGTTCCTCAGGGCATCGTTCTGGAGCCCCGGGGTAGATTATTTTAATCTAATAACTTTAAAAAAAAAAAAAGCCCACCTTTGCTAACTCTGTGGACTGATTTCAAATGTCACCAAAGGAGCAACCTCCCACAACACAAACTCCACATTTGGGTAAAATCTATGAGATGATGTGTCTTTGTAGAGGATTAAGAGACAACGCTAGAGAGCAAGCTGATATAAAGATATTCAGGTATACTCAGAGCGCCACCTGCTGCGGGAGATGAAGGCCGAGTACTCCATCCTGTGCGTGGAGCCTGGAGGTGTCGTCTTGGTGGGAGTCAGCAGCACAAAGATCATGTGAGGGTTGGAGAGAGCGCTCTTCAGGTTCTCGTGCACCAGCTTCTCTCTAAAGGTCATCTGCTGCTCCGAGTTCCTGCGCTGCCGGTACCAGCCGATCACGCTCTCCTTCACAAGCCGAACACGTCAATCACATGATCGCATCATGCCGAAACCTTCTCCCCACCCCACTCACCTGCTTGTTCTCTGCCAGCAGCTTGTGTAGCTCCTCCGCGTTCACCTGTCCATCCCTGCTGTACAGACTGACACGCAGACACACCTTTACATAAGAACACAGCACACACACGATGGCATGATTACGTCACGATGCATCACTCACGTGTTCAGTCTGTGGCAGGCGATGTGCTTCTGGACGTCTGTCAGAGAAAACAGACATTCCTAAAAGTGTACCAGTAACTGTAGTACTCGTGTAACCGTACAGTTCATTGAGATGCACTTACTGTATGTTTCCTCGATGTGGATGTGATCGGCCTGAGAGTCGCTGATGGTGACCTGCTCGTCAAACCTGCTCTCTCCGAGGATCAACCCCTCCTGATGGATGAATAAAACCAGATATAAAAACCCTACATCTATAAGCATTTGTTTACTGAATATAATCATTTCGGCTACAGCATTTTTACATAAATATTAAAATATATGCCAAATTTACCAACAGACCTACCTGAATACTTGAATGTATTTGATTATGTTTCACGCTAACGTTTTCTTGTCAGGAGCCATTTTCATTAAACTTTACATTTTTTTAATGTAGTCTGGTGTATTCTGAAACACGGTGGTGGACGAGAACTGAGCAACAATTTTTCAATTAAATTATGTCTTCAGTAAGATTCAGTAGTTGGATTAACCATATGCCGAATTTACCAACAAATCATCGTTAATTTGGGGATCTGTTTAAAAGTGCACGAATACACGAGAATAATCGGTGTTACATTAAAACCTAAAATCTGTGAATGGAGTGTGGTTTGCACCGACGGGAATGGTTGAAAAGGAGCAGTAACATCTCGGGTTTCATGCAAAACTCGACTCGCGTAATCGTTCCGTGTTGGATCATGGATGTACCGAATTTTCCTACACACCTGTCTGAATATTAAAATGTTTTTTAATATGTTTTACACTGTTTGACTTCTTATCGGGACCTGGTTAAATTAGTAGATTTTTGAATGGAGTCTGGTTTGTTTGGAACCTGAGAGCGGTTAGCTAGTTTAAAAGTTGAAGAAACACCACAGGGGGAGTTTTGACTTCACTTAGACGACAAACTGTTCTTCGCTGCATCAAACGACACGCTGAAATCCGAATAATTAAACTAATAAATACGAATTTATGAACTTTAAAGCCTGATACTAACACCTGGCGCGTCTGTTCTATTTGCTAGCTTTCCCAATAATACTACATAATCACCCACAAAGGCTCAATAAGAATTCATCAGTTTTAATGACGAGTAAAAGAGCTCCTTACCACATCGGAGTCACTGTTAACGTGCTGAAACATGAGGGAAGCTAAAACGATCCCGGGCAAGCGGACAGTGGGCTCCGCCATGATGCCGTTTCATCACAAACACAGACGCGTCACATACGCGCAGTCATACGCTGCGAATTGTTTTTCGTGCGCAGCAGGCTCCGCTGCAGGAGGAGCGGGCTGGTTAGCGAGCTAACCATAAAACCAGCGGGCTGAAGGTTCAGTTTCTCCGGACAGCAGCATCCGCTCGCCTCTCCTCGCTCCTAGGCACACTTCCACTGAAACAGGGCCTTCTGTGGGGGTCCTGTCCCGGTAACCCGGGTTAGTTCAGTTTAGATAGTCGGACTACCGGGTCTAACTTCCTTTATCCGAACAATAGCTCTAGTAATTCACTCCTGTAACGGTACTTTGGATTTGAAACGTACAAATACTCGATTACAGGTAAGAGTTAAACTTCCAGAGTCACCGCAGGCTGTTTAATAATCATAGTTTTGAATGTTTGTTGTTGTTGTTGTTGTTGTTGTTTTAACAGCTAAACTGATTGTCTGCTAAAGTTTTAAAACTACTTCATTTACTGCTGTGAGTGACTGTTTTATAGTCAGTATATGAACCTGTAGTTAACAACTGATTTCATTCTGAGTTCAAAATGGTCATTTTCTCATTATAAATTTTTATGTCAATTAAAATTTGTTGTTTTTATATTACATTAAATTACAAGTTTTAAAGGGTTATATGTGTTTTAAAAAGGCTGTAAACATATATGTATTAATTATGCATTAGTTAAATATGTGCACTTGGTTTTTAAACAGCCTGTGATATAATGAAATGCCTTATTTGTCTTTCTCACGCAATAGTCAAAACTCTTCACCTTCCTCTCATTTAAAAGCAGACAAATATGAAATTCACATTTTTAACCTATATTCAATCAAATATTTGATGTTTTGTTGATAAAAAACAAACAAACAGAAACCTAAAATATTTCTACTATTATAACTTCAATTCAGCAACAGCTGTAATATGAATTAAAATGTTCTTTCATTTGTATAAGACTTTGTTTTATACATATACACAATACATGAGCACATTTAGCACATTTAGTTAAAAGCAGGTCAGAAAGAAAGATGATAATCATAAAAACTCCCAAAATAAATCTACAGTCATAACTGAAAAGGTTTGGAGTATTATAGAATAATAAAAAAGCAGAAATACTTGAGCATAAGTACCTTAAAGTTGTTATGTATTATATGTTATGTTATTTTTCTTTGACGTTTTTGCTTGAAATAATAGTTTTAAAAACTTTTTAGAATCTGGAGCTTAAAATGTTTAGAAGAAGATCCTGTAAGTAGATTAGACAGAATTTTGTTGGCAGAAGGAGCTGATTAGTAAACAACTGTCATCAGCATAGAAATGAATAAAGCTGTTCCTATTCAATGATCATTTACTTCTGTTCTGGAAAGTCAAAGAATGAAAGTATATTGGGGAGAAGGATGGCATGCTGACTGTGGTGGAGGTGATGGGGAGCAGGTCAGAGCGTTTTTGGTTCGTCCTCAGGGGAACATGATGGGAACGCCTCCTTTAACCTCCTGTTTGCAGATGATGAGGTGACCTCCAAGCTGTCAGCAATGGAGGACCTGTGGACCGTGGCCGTGGCTGTTTTCCAGCTGTGGATATTCGTAGTCGTGTTCTTCATCACGCTGCCCGCCATGTTCGGCCTCTCTCTGGGTGTCACCAGCGTCTACATCCAGATCCTGGTTAAACTCCTTGAGGTAAGCTGTCCTCAGAGGAATTCATGTCTATGGTCAACATGTGTGTAAAGTTGTGCAATGAGCAGCAGCAGCAGAGTGGGGTCAGAGGTCATCTGTCCTAATAACATTGCAGTGGGCCACGATACGAATCCAGAGAGGACGCGAGGAGCAGCCCAGCGTACCCGCACCGCTGCCCAATGGTGAGTCTGCTCGCATCACAGCAGAAAACATTCAGTCTGTCAGTTAATCAATAAATAATGACTAATGATCAGACGTAGAAATACATCATCAGAGAAGTTTGATTATTCACATTTATGTAAAAACTACCGGACAGCAAAAGCTGTCAGATAAAAACTCATCGTCCTCAATAACAAATATAATAAAAACAGGAAAAATATTTTAAACAGGGAATGAAAAACATCAAAATAAAATTATGTATATGTCATGTATATATGTTTTATAATAACATTTTTATATAATTATATAAATCTAATTTTAAAAAGACACTTTAAATAAAGAAACTATAATATATATGTATATATGCATAATATATATACATATATTTATAATAAATGAGGTACAAAGCCGTTGGATATTGTCATAATCCGTGTCATAATAAAAATCAGAAATAATAATGTTTTTACAATAAATAATTTCTAATAACATTAGAATAATATTTGAAAAAACTAAAATTAGATTTTTAAGGCTTTAAACAGTGAATCGCTATGTTAAATGATCACATTTGGTCAAATTGAAACTGTATTTATTAAATAAACCAATAATCCCGTTGATCTCATGACTGATCAAACTTTTGTTCCGTTCTGATGTGGCGCACAAGACTTTAAAAGCAGAAAGCGATTCCTCTGTGCTGCTGCTTGGAGTTTCAGCTCCTGTTCCTGTTTGGATGTTTGGGCTGCGAGCACAGATCATGTGACACTGTGCCCCGAGGGTGGGGGCTTCCTATTGGTCAGCTGCAGCATCTGATGTTGGGCTGTAGGTCAGGGAGAGAAGCACATGGCTCGTCTCAGGATGATGATGCAACAGCTGCTTACATAACGCTGGTCAAACAGAAGCCTGAGAAACTCAGACACACACACTAACACACACGTTAATAACAAACACAGGTACTGCTGCTTTGCTGCTGTGTCAGAGGTTTAACCCTTAACAGCCTGTAGGCCTCACAGATTTACTGCAAACTTTTTCTGAGGCACAAGATCAGAAAAAAAATAGAAATAAATACAAGAACCTTTCACACAGAGTCAAACGTCCTTAAGGACAGGAAAGTGACCAACGTTTAAAAAAAAGGTCATTCAGGTCCCTCTGGGTTAATTCAGGGACAAAGACATGGAAACAGGAAGACACACAAACATGACAACAACAAAAAATATGAGACTCTAAACAACAACAGAGAGACACAAAACCACCACACAGAGAACAAAATGACCCCCAAAACAGGTGAAAACACATAGCGACATAGAAACAATCACACTGGTTCTCAAAGAGTTGATGTTTTCAGTAGGAGAAACGTTTCATCATCATCCAAGTGGCTTCTTCAGTCTCAGCTGACTGCAGGTTTCCAACCTTTGAACAGAACCTGACTGCAGGTTTCCCCAATCTTATAAACAGTAAATTTGCCTGAAACCAGCCCACTGACGAACAATGTGAGGTCAGTTTCATGATCATTGTTATGACCATGAGTAGCATTTACAGAGAGTTGGGGAATGGCTGCAATGGTTAAGATTAAGGAACTGACCTCACAGCCCATTTTTCACCAGTGGTGCTAGTTTCAGTTAGTATGCACATGTACTGTTTATAAGATTGGGGAAACCTGCAGTCAGGTTCTGTTCAAAGGTTGGAAACCTGGAGTCAGCTGAGACTGAAGAAATCACTTGGATGATGATGAAATGTTTCTCCCACTGAAGAATCCAGATGAACGGAATCAACGATTGAGATTTGCTTACCTGGATGATTGATCATGCATCAAGACAGTCACACAGGCTTTTAAAAGAAAATCACAGAGACAGGAGTTTGATAAAACATATGAAAATACATGATATATGCTCAAATAAAGACAGTGAGACTAAACGCGGTGCTGTTCTTTGTTCCTTCCTCTCTCGTCTCCACTGTGTCTTTGTTAAACTCTGGTCCTGCTGAACTCTTTCTGAAACTCTCTGATGACTCAGGGATCATCGAGCGAGCGGAGGGCTCGATGGAGGAGGAGATGGAGCAGTTGCGGCGTTCTCGGTCTCTGGAAGGCGGTGAGTTTGCTCTGAGTGACGCCTTGTATTTCTGCAAGAAGGGCCTGGAGAGCATCGTGGACGACCAGGTGACCCAGCGCTTCTCCTCTGAGGAGCTGGCCTCCTGGAACCTCCTGACCCGCACCAACCAGAACTTCCGCTACATCAGCCTCCGCCTCACCATCTTCTGGGGCATCGGCGTGTTCGTGCGCTATTGTGTCCTCTTCCCTCTCAGGTCAGTGTGTCACAGCTCGACCTCTCACCTACCCGGGGAGGCACTGATTTCAGCATCATTGGCCTTTGCAACAGGAACAGCAGCTCTCACAGCGGTGAAGCAATTCAGCCAGAGGCACGTTTCAGTGCTCTCAGGTCACTCCAGTGCTTACATCTTCTGCTTTTAACTAATAAACAGGAAGTGCTGCTCACTGTAACACATCACTGGTGAGAAAACAGATAATAGATGAGCAGTTAGCTGTAATTATCTCCAAACCATCATCACCGCAGTGCAGTCTGTACATGTGCAGTCTGTATGGTTACACCCATCATTCAGAAACCAAGTGACAGAGCTACTATCTCTCTGAGGCCTTCTCAGTGAATAAAAGTGAGACAGTTCTGATCAGGGGGATTTTCACCTTCTCCTCCTCATGTCTCTGCAGGATTACTCTGGCCATCATCGGCCTCTCGTGGCTTGTGATTGGAACGACTCTAGTTGGATTTCTGCCTGAGAACAGGTATGGCGCTTCCACGGTTCACAGCTTTGGTGACTGCCTCGGCGAGGCACAAACTGAGCATGTGCATCTGTTTCAGTGTGAAGTACTGGCTGAGCGAAGTTGTCCACCTGACCTGCTACAGGATCTGTGCCCGGGCGCTGTCGGCCACCATCCGCTACCACAACAAGTCAGTCCACTTCATCGCTTCCTGTCAAGTGCTTCCTGTCGAGCACTTCCTGTCAATCTGAACACGTGTTTCTTTCTGCAGAGAGAACCGACCTCAGAAAGGAGGGATCTGCGTGGCTAATCACACCACGCCCATCGATGTGGTGATCCTGGCCAATGACGGCTGCTATGCCATGGTAAGTGTCATGCGTGCGTGGGTGTGTGTTTATGTGTGTGTGTCGGCGTGCCTTTGTGTGTTTGTACATGTGTGTGTGTTCTGTTGTCTTGATGCTATGTTGTCCTCAGGTGGGGCAGATTCATGGAGGTCTGATGGGGGTCATCCAGAGGTCGATGGTGAGGTCGTGCCCTCATGTTTGGTTTGAGAGGTCGGAGATGAAAGACCGCCACGCGGTGACCAGCAGGTGAGGCTGACTGTAAACGATTTCACCTGCCAGACAGAGTCAGACGTTTTTATTTCTGCTCCAAACCGTGATGGTGGAGATGCTCTGACATCAGTGACAGCTGGGTGCGGCCCATATGATCACACATTTTTAGCACCGTGACCTTTAATTTGTTCCGTTGGCTCAGGAGGTAGTTCAGCGTGGCTCTGCCTGTCAGAGCCGGTGGATCAGGAGCCTGTGTGTATGTTTGTGCGTGTGTTTCATCCTCTGCCGAGCTGCTGATGATCAACTGTTGATGTTTACCTTGCTGTCTCCTCGGCGAGCTGCGGCCGTGTGGCGTAACGCTTTGATGAGTCAGCTGAATTGGTCCAGGGTCACTTCCTGTGAACTAAACGCTCACCACAGCCTCGAGCTCGAGGGTCACACTCAGGGTTTGTGACCACATTACAGTCAAACAGCGAGAGAATGGGAACATCTGTAATTACAGCTGTTTTGTGAAAGTGTTGATGCAGATGTGTTTGATGACTCACTGACGTGTGCTTCCTCTCTGCAGGCTCAGAGCTCACGTAGCAGCAAAGACCAAACTTCCCATCCTTATATTTCCTGAAGGTCAGCGTCACATGATGGTGGTGGTGATGATGATGATGATGGTGGTGGTAATGATAATCATGATTTGATGGCGGGATAATGTCTGTCTTTGTCTCTGTAACAGGAACTTGTATCAACAACACGTCGGTCATGATGTTTAAGAAGGGCAGCTTTGAGATCGGAGGAACGATCCATCCCGTCGCCATCAAGGTAGCAAAGCTGCACGATGATCGGTTAGTCCAGAAAATGTTTTACCTGAGCCAATCAGCTTTGAGAACCTGACTCATCTTCCCTCCTTTTGTGTCTCAGTACGACCCTCGCTTGGGTGATGCTTTCTGGAACAGCAGCAAGTACAACATGGTCAGCTATCTGCTGCGCACCATGACCAGTTGGGCCATCGTCGTCAATGTGTGGTACCTCCCACCCATGACCATACAGGTACGCCTCGGAGGTCAACGTCTCTAGAAACACCCCAGTGAGGGATCTGAAGTACGAGCGGGGAAATTAAACTATATTTTTGGCCTTTAACCTTTCACACACATACTGATTAATCCATCAGGGGTCACCCGTCACATGACCTCACAGTAAACAACAGGTAGAAAAGATCAGCTGATCGACGTTCTGCTTGTGACCAACAAACTTCCCACCAACGTTTACATCACCAAACGTCTGAGCATAAATCATTTGACACTAATATAGCAAACATTAACTGTTAACTGATGAGAAACGCACACACACACAATAATACTGAAAGGCCTCAAATAGAAACACAATAAAGACACAAAGTGCAAAGCGCATAGAAATTGTACTGTTTAGAAACCTATGCACAAGAGTTGCAAACAACAAAGTTATATACAACCATTCACCTAAAAATGCAGCCAGTGCCTCGGGCGTTTTTTCTATAACCCTCACAATAAGATGCCACACAAATGACTTGTGCCACTCCAAAAAATAGTTTCTGTCCACTATAAGACGAGGAGCACATCACATTTTTCCACCAATAGGAAAAGGTTTTTTTTCTTGTTTTGTTTGTTTTTCAGCAGCAAGTTATAACGAGCACTATCCTTAGAAAGTGTCTGTTGACCCCAGAGGGTTAACCCAATGAATTATTTTGTGTTTCATCCAGAGTTAGTCTGGACTTCCTGAAGGCCTGACGTCTGAAGGTTTGAGCGCTTTCCTTTGATTTTCAGTGATCTGCCCATGCTGTAATTCCCACTCTGACCTGATTGGGGCAGCATCTGCTTCACTGTGTCAGGAAGGTGACACTGTAACACCTGAGCATCATCATCATCGCCCTCCAGCGTCTCTTTTGATGGAGGGTGATGATGGTGATGACAGCTCTGCAGATGAAGACGAGGAGTTAAATGCTGTGCTGCTCGCCATTTGGGCTTTTAAAAGCAGTGTTACCGAAGCATAAACACACTCTCTCACACACGCGCACACACACACACACACACACACACACACACACACACACACACACACACAGATTGTGAGAGTCATGTGATCACAGCTAACATGACCGCGGGGTGTTTTCAGGATGGAGAGGATGCAGTCCAGTTTGCCAACAGAGTGAAATCTGCCGTTGCTTGTCGGGGAGGACTGCTTGACCTGGCATGGTGAGTACTCAGATTACTCAGTACAGTTAAGTACATCTCACTTGAAGTTTGTATCTATATTATAACAGTTTAAAGATAGAAAACACTTTTTTAAATGATGAAATAACAACTTTGTTCTGAATCAAACACTGAACGTTAGATTTAGTTTGTTCGTCCCGGTTTGTAGGTGTCAGTCGTGGCGACGTCTGCTTTCACATACAGCGAGCTGAAGGATTTCACCTCAGCAGCAGGGACCATTTTCTCTCAGCCGAGCGAGCTCACAGAGAAAAGGGCTCATTTAAAGTGACGTGTCAGCACGACTCAATAAAACTAACAAGCAAATGATTACGCGTTGTAAATAATAAATTAATGAGTAGTTTTTTGTGTTTGAGTCCCGAAGTTATGACTATATGATAGTTATAATCCATGACAACATCAATTCTGTGTCGAAAACCATCTTTTACTGTTTTTCAATCTATTTTGAAGAAACTGCAGGATTGAGATTCTCAGTGAAAACTTCCTTCCTGATTTTTTTTTTCTCCATTTCAGGGACGGAAGCCTAAAGCGAGGGAAGGTGAAGGACGCGTATAAGGAAGAGCAGCAGAAGATGTACAGCAGGGTCATCGTCAGGCAGAACAGCATCAGTGCCACACACACCCGCAGAGACGATCAATCATAAACAATCAGTCACAGCAAAACTCGGTCGTCTGATTTTAGACTTTACAGGACAGACCTGAATGCCACATCAGACTGTGGGTGCAGGACAGCATCTCCACCAGCAGGAGGCAGCATGACACAACACAATCACCCATCCAGCTGCTCATCTCCTCCTCTTCATCATCATCATCAGCTGCCAGGACTGAACTCTTCATCACACAGATGAGGATGATTTATCATCATCGCTGTGTCTGATTTTAACTTTTGTACAAACATCTGAACCAAACTGACACTTTTGCTCACTGTTTATTTCTCACATGGACGAAGAAACATTTCATCTGTGTGTCTACACACAACACACCATAAACCTCTCACACACACACACACACACACACACACACACACACACACACACACACACACACACACACACAC